TAGTTCAGCCTTGCTTAGAAAAAATTGTCTGCAGCTCAGGCTACATACATTTTCTTATGACCATGTGGTGCATTAGACATAGATTTGGGCTTAGCTTGGCATGCAGAGCCAAATGCAACGGAGGCTGGCAACCAGCAAGCAGTCCCCACAGTACTGCTTCTTGCTTTAAGCATAGCACTTGAGTGAAGGTCCTAATTTGTTCCTAAAAATTTAGTCTGTCCGCCCCACCTCTTTATGCTATTAATCTCATGGCAAACTGCTGCAGAATATGACCTTGGAGAATATTTAGTGAAATGACACCCTCCCCCTGATTTCTGCCCCCCCCCCCCCAGCACTGAAACTGAAAATATTCTTGCAAGCTTAAAGCTCAGTTCTTTAGACGTAAATATGCCTCAGTCATCTTGTGGCAGGCCTGGCCTGTAAAAGAAGTTTGTCCTGAGACCAGAGTCACTAAAGCTCCCCTAGGAGGGCTTCTAGGTGCTGGAAAAGGATTTGGACATCTGTGGTGGTGCTTTTTGGCAATGAGTGCGTACCAAAAAGGTGTACACTTCGGCTTTGTCTATCTGAAAAAAGTCTGAACGTTTGGCTTTGCCCAACTTTTACTTGTAGATGAACCTTTAAATGTCAAATGTATCACTTTCCTGGCTTTTCAATGAGGATGCTTGATTCATTTATCTCTTCCTAACATTTATAAACTGCCCTTCATCCACAAGGGGTCCCAGGACGGCGCACACAACATTAAAAGCAAATCCAATAGAAAACCCATAGTGTGACACTTTGTAAGACAAATTCAAACTGCAAGCCAAACCAAAATACGAAAATCGATTCAGCTGAAAAGTAAATACATTTTAAACGAGATATTTGTAGCACGTTAAAACGCTTGGACAAAAAGCAAACGTTTTAATTTGGCAGTGGCAAGAAAATTATGCCAGCACCAAGTGGATCGCCTCTGGGAGGCCATTCCGAAGTCCTGGTGCCTCCGCAAGGAAAACAGCCCTGCTTCGCGAACGCTTCATGTTGAGAGCACTTAGAGGAAACCGCGGCGTATCCACCTCCTCCTCCGTAAATAAGAAACTGTTTCATGTGCTCTGCTCTCCAAAGCAATGAATGGTTCATCCTGAGTGATGAATGGAGAATTTTCAGCACCTCCTTGCCCTTGGCATGGGAGGAGCTCAGAACACGGGATCGGGCATCCCGGGACAGCCATGGAGCCAACGGCTCGCGTCCTTCCACGTCTTGCCTGTGTTGGATGGCTGCTTATCCCGCGCCTGCAGGGCCATCCCTACTGTGTGTTGTTCCACGCGGAACATAACATTTAGCAGGGCTGAAAAGGTCATTTTCTGGCTGTGCAATTAGCTCTTCTATTCTTCCATTCCTCCCACCCATGTTCCATCCGCTTGCATTTAGACACTTGTCTGTTCCATTCGGAGGACAACAGCGTTGTTCTAACCGGACAATGGAATATGCACCATTGATGCCCAAATGCATTCATGCTAATCATGGTGATTACGGTGAGTGTCTGACAGATTAATAATGACGGGATACTTCAGATCAAGTGGCAACAGTGTAATTAAGGTCACACAGACTCGCAAGAGTTCTTAAGCTCAAATTTTAGTAATTAGGCAGAAAGAGGTGAAGAAATAAGTGGAAACGGCAACTTCCTATGCTGTGTGAAGGGGTCCCACCTCGAATTTAGGATTCGGACACAGCAGGTTCTCGTTTTCATTGACCGTGACAGGTGGGAAGCCCCAAGCCCACACCTGCGCTGGGAAAGGACCTCAAAGGTGAGTGTCTTGAGGACCACCCTGGTATGTGAGGCTGTGGCCAGCACCACTCATTCTCGCTGGCCCACCATCCACACCCACATATTCGTCTCACACCCACATGCTGGGTGGCGCTGGGGAATATTGAGAGGGTCACCTTAAGCAAGCCAGTTTCACTCAGCCCTGGGTTTTCCCATTGGGAAAGCCGGTGTGGATTCACTGCCTCAGACTTCTGGGAGTTGCTCCTTTCCATCAGCAAATCGCAGCCTCAAGTGCCAGGGATGCCTTGAAGCGGTAGCTCCAAGACTCGGGAATTACCACTTCAGTTCACTTCAGGTGCCTCCCAGTGATGGTTCCAGGCATCTTCGGTATCTCAGGAGCATCTTTTCCCATGTAACTCTCCATATTCCCTGGTCTCTTGGCGAAGTCCACCTCTGGATGCCTAATCCAGCAAGGTCCACATGGAGGTGGCAAGGAGCAGGTTATTTCTTGTGAAGAGATCCTCCTTCTGGAATCTGCTTCCAGGAGCAGAACGAACAACTTCTTCTCTGCAGACCTACAGAGGGTCCACCCAAAGCATCCCATGTTCAAAAATCCATTTGCTGAACTTGGGTTCGGTGGTTGACTTTTGCTGCTGGCAGCTGTGTTTTGTTGTTTGAAACTATATTGTAATTATTATCAACTGTCGGAGGGCCATTTTTATGTCCTGGAGGTGGGGGGGGGGGGGGGGGGGAGAAATGCAGGACATGAATAAATAAAATGGACTTACTTATGGTTCCTTTTAAAATGTTGACCCCACTTTTCTCATATAGACTCAAAGCTGCTTAAAATAAATAATGCATCACAATGTAAGTGAGATGTTTGAGATTATACTTTGAAATTCAGCTTTTTCTTCCAATGATCTCAGTGGATGTTCCCGTGATGTGCTCAGAACTTGCAATGAGCCCAACTGAGCTCAGTCGCTCTGATTCTCGAGCAAAATTGTATAGGACTGCAGCCTTAATGTAGCTGCCCTTTCAGTGACTCACCTCGCTCTCATTCACTGGGTGTTGTTTGAGCCTCTCAAGAGATTCGGATCCACCTGTGCCTGTTTGCCTAGGAACACGCTTCTGCTGGTTAGTTGGCAGGGGTGAATGCTCTCCGAGTGATTTAAGCTGTGGCTGGGTTGATTTTCTCCTTTCCTCCAGGCAGTGGGGAAGGCAGAGCAAAGGAGAGGTGACTTCCCTTTCCCATGTGCCCTTGCAATCCGTAGGAATCATCACTTCTGCTGGAGAAAGAGGAGGCACTTGGGGACGAGCGACCTCAGTGTTGGGAGCACGAGAAATACCTACCCAGCGGCAGTTCACTCTAGAACAGCGTTGCCGCCACGATGTAGGAACCGAGCTTTGCTGCTTTTGATGTGCAGAAAGAACATGGATGCATTGTGGGGGAAGTGCTGTGTGTTTGAAAGTCGGTAGATTTCTCTTTGCTGTATATCTTTAATGCTAAGATGTACTGCAAGATATAAATAATAGCACAAAAACAGAGCATCTCTCTCTCTCTCTTGCATCTAATTTTGAAAGCACTTGTATTAACTCTGCACAGGCAGGGCTGTAATTTTGATGGTGGAAGGCATTCTCTCGCCATATGTCAGGGTTGCCCGAAAGTAGGTCATTTAATTCCCAAATGGTGGATGAGGAAGAGCTTGGCAGAAGAGCGATTGTACAGGGGTTTGGGCAGGTCATGAAAAATGGCGTTTCCCCGTCTATCCTTTGCGAATATAGAAGTGGGTGAGTTGTGTTTGTATCTTGGGCACTTACGGGGAGTCAGTGAAACTTTAACTATTTAATATATTTTGTTTTCCTAGGAGTCTTCCACATGCCTTGATTTTAAAAAATCAGAACAAAGCCACAGCATTTATTTATTTAAAGCGAGAATGCAGACCTTTCAACACGATGGTCTGATCCTATTTTGAAGAAACTCTGGGGCCAATCAGGACCAAATTCTAATTCATTAATTAATTTCTAGACCACTCAATAGCCAAAGTTCTCTGGGTGGTGCACAACCATTAATCAAAATACAAAAAGATACAATAAAAATACAAAAGCAATAAAACACAACAATTCTATATGGATAGAATTCTAATTCTAATTGAATTATAATTCATTATAAAAGTCTAGTATGCAAATTTGAAACAGCTTAAAATTCCAATATACAAAAATCTAAAGCTATTTAACATCTGACACCTTCTCATTAAAAACTAGGCCTAATTAAAGCAGTGGACATAACCCATCATATGCCATTAAGTGCCATCAAATAGCTGGGTCAGTTTTAACCTGACCCTGAAAAGGTGGCGATGTTGGAGACAGGCAGGCCTGAGTGGAGAGCCCGTTCCACAACTGGAGAGAAAGGCGAAAGGCATGCGGCCAAAACTACGAGCATAGTTTTAGTGGAACCCCTTATTGGCAGTAAAGAAGTCTAGCATTTGGGGCAGGGAAAAGTGCTGGACAAAAGCAGAGAGACCACTAAAAATAACTGGGGGGGGGGAATAGGGTGGGGCCTGTGGGAGGAGGTGTGGCTTCCAAGAGAAACCAGGAGAGAGAGATTGGGACCCTGGAAAGACAGATATGGCCCCCAGACCTGTTGTTCTGCACCCCTGAATTGGAACTGGAAGACCCGTGGTCAAGACCCACCTATAAACGTAAAGAGTAGCCTGGCTGATCAGCTTGAGGTCCATCCAAGACCGACTTTCTGTTTCCAGCAATGGCCACAGAGCTGCTCCTGCTCCTGTGATATTCACCAGCGGGCCATGGAGAGGAGAATCATCCATCCTGAGTTGGCTGTCCATAGCCTTTGATCCGCTGTATACAAGGATGGCGATGGGTCTGTCGTTCGTGGTCTTTCTGAGACGGGTTTTTGAGGTCAAGCCAGTGCTGTCACTTTTCCACACTGGGATTGGGAATTCTGTACACTTCGTCTGCAATGCATACATCAACACATGTATTTCTGTGCACATTTTTTTAACTGTGCCCACTTTTGGTTGCCTAAATGCATTAACTAAATGATGATTAAGTAAAATAAACTGTGTTTGTATGCATTCTGGAAATGCGCGCATCCATCTTGACACATTTTTCAAATGTGTACGTGTTATTAACTTGGGCAGTGGAATGAGATCATGAAGAGTGTATTGATTCCCAACAGGAATGGAAAAAGATCATTAACTCTCAGGGTAATTAACACAACGGCATTTCTTTTCAGGTGCTGAACCTTTTCCTTGCCTTACTGTTGAGCTCATTTAGTGCCGACAACCTGTCTGCCCCAGATGAGGATGGCGAGATGAACAACCTGCAGCTCGCCTTCGCGCGCATCAACCGGGGGCTGAACTACGTCAAGCGCGCGATGTGGGCCTTCTGCTGCAGCGTCCTTCGCCAGCCAAAAGCGACCGCCGAGAAGAAAGCCATGATGAAGCTCGTGGTCCAGAACCCGGCTGCTGTTCACAACTGCATGAACAACCACACAGCAATGGAGTTTGGCAAGGAAGAGGAGAACCCCAAGGAGAACCACACCGGGGACGATGGGGCTGAAAGGAACAGGGCGAACCAGCAGGTGGCCAGCGACCAGAACGATGACTTCATGACCAACCCCAACCTGTCCATCTGCGTCCCCATTGCAGTGGGAGAGTCCGATATCGAGGACGACGAGCAAAGCACGTTCACGGAAACCGATCAGGTAAGCTCCTCCTTGAAGGAATGGCCAATCTTTTGGGACAAAGCAGGAGCAGCTCAAGGTGTGGAAAAAGGGAAGGCACTTGGGGATGCTCAGGGTTCTGCTGCCTGAGCTAAAGGTGGCACAGCCACGAAATGTTGCAGTGGCTTGGGCATCCTGCATCAGCAAGGACCTTCCCATGGCTCAGTCTTCAGTAGGTTTGCAAACACAGGAGTTGAATCTCAGGCAGCCCCCTATCTGTGCATTTTGTTTGCCATCCTGGCCTGCAAAGGCACATCTGCATTCTTGGCTTAAATTAGCAGTCCTTTCCTCTCCCCAAGGAATCTTGGGAATTGCAGGTGTGTGTGGAAAGTGAAGGGTCCCCAAGCAGAGGGTTCTTGGCACCTGCACCAAATGACATTCCTATCCTTTGGGTGAAACCGCAAGTGCTAGAGAGTATTGTTGTGCGGTTGCATCTTTGCAGTGTAGGTGCATTGTAAATGCTGTCAGCACCTCGCTTGCCTGGGAGGCCTTTGGAAAGTAAGAGAAAGCTTTTTTGGTGGTGAGGAAAGCAGATGTCATGTTGCGAGTCGGTTTCCTGTATCGCGTGAGTGCTCTGTGATTGCAAACTGCAACTGTGGAAGTGGCTTTGCGTGTGGAAATCATGAAATGCAGGAAAGCCTCTGTGTGCAAAAGCTGAAAAGTGTTTTGGTTCAGTCGAGACCTCGGAGGGGTGAGAGCTTTTCCAAGGTTTCCCAGAGGCTGAAGGGTTACGTGGGGATAATGTGCAGAGAAGGCAGCGGCTGCTTCTGGAAGCGTTTCCCGGAAAACAAGGCAGCCAAGGGGTTCTTGGTCATGCCTGCCTTTTTGACATCTTCATAAGAAGCTGGATAGAAGCTTATGCACTGAAGTGGGGATTTCTTTAGCATTCCCATTTCTCATGGAGAGATGTGTGTGGACTTTGGATGAGACGTAGCCGGTGTGACAATGTGTGAAAGGGGTAGGCGGAGAGTTGCGCATGAAAGGAGAAGGGGAAAAGATGTTTGGGGATTCCCTTAAGGCCACATTTTGGCAGACGGTGAAGCGGGGAATGGCGAGCAGAGCCAACGTCATTCATTCTCCAGCGTGACTAACTTCAGTGGCGCTGGATTGCAGCTTCCACCATTCCCTGCCAGAACTGGCTGCCCTGTGTGGGGATGATGGAAGGTACAGCCGGGGCACTTGGTGGGTAGAACGCTGGGAAAGGATGTTGGGCGACATTCACTTCGTTCTTGCCAAAGACTTTACCTGGCAGGTCTTGCTAGGGATCCCAGATGAGCTGAGAGCCACCAACCCATGCCTGAAGGTCAGAGTGGAGAGTGGGGACATGGTCCATCATCCTGAACCCCCTAATCACACAACGTTGGATGAATTTGCCGGCCTCTGTCCCTGTGCACAGAACCTCTAATGAAGATCCACAGAGCACAGCTGGAGCACTGCTGTCCTAATTCTGCAGTCATATTTTACCATTTATTATACAGCCTTTGGCTTGATTTCTTACGACTTGTAATCCATGGAAATTCAAAGGGCCTGCATCAAACCCTTGATTTTGGTTCAAATCAGAGTCTTTTTCTCTCCCATATTTTAAAGCCTTTGTGAAGAACATTCTAAAAGCTTTGCTGTCCTGGTGACAGAATAATTATTATTCCTGTTGAAGGACTAAATGAACAACTGTGCGTAATTTAACACTTGGGCTGCTAGAGCTAGGCAAGACAATAGGGATCTTTTGAGCACTGGGCCAATCATTGTTTTGTCAATGTTATTGCTTAGTCTCTTGTGATGTGGTGGTTAAGAGCATGGGACTGGGACTCGGACGATCTGGGTTCTAGTCCCCACTCAGCCATAGAAACATAGAAACAGAGAGAGTCAGAAGAGGCCTCCCGGGCCATCTAGTCTGACCCCCGGCACCAGCCAGCTATGCTCACGACATGCCCACCACGTGCATGTCCAGCCTATCCTTGAACACCCGCACCGATGGGGCCTCAATGACCTCCCATGGAAGCCCATTCCACACCCTCGGGGTCCTGACTGTCAGGAAGTGCTTCCTGGCATCCAGATTGAACCTTGGCTCCCTGAGCTTTGCTCCGTTGGAGCGCGTCCTGCCTTCCTCTGCGGAGGAGAACAGGTCTCTACCCATCTCCATGTGACGCCCCCTCACGTACCTGTATGTCGCCAACAGATCCCCTCGGAGTCTCCTCTTCTCCAGGCTGAAGAGACCCAGTTCCCTCAGTCTCGCCTCACACCCCACCCCCTGCAAACCAGCCACCAACCCTGTGGCCCTACGCTGCACTGACTCCAACCTGGCTGTATCCTTTCTGTAATGAGCCATGGAGCCAACTGGGTGACTTTGGGCCAGTCAAAGACTCTCAGCCCAACCTACCTCACAGGGTAGCTGTTTCTGTCAGGATAAGAAGAAGATGAGGAGAATGATGGGAACCCCCTCCCTTGAGTTCCTTGAAAGGAAGAAAAGCAGGATATGAAATAAGTAATAAATAAACAAGCCTGCCAGGGGCCCAAATGTCAATAGGAGCCCCCAGGCAAGTCCCCCGGGAGTTGCTCCTCTTCTGCAGCATCGTGCCCTCTTGCTCATCTCTCACGCTGGCCCACCCGGTATGTCTGAACCTGGCCACGTACCCCAGCTTGTCTCAGCGGAGGCACGACGCAAAGGCTTCGAGCCCTGCTGTCTGCATGATGTGCTTACGCTGCCGTGCATAGCGGCTGCCGATGCAAAAGCATCCCCGCGGCCCAACCTAATGGCTCTTCTCATGTGCACTGTTTCTGTGAGTTTGTTTCGCACCAGCCAAATCCCCTTTCAGTGAAGGCGAGAGCTCTTCTCTCTCTCGTAGCTTCTCCCTGCCAGCCAGAAACACCTTCAGCTTGTCCCTGCCAGCCCGTGCGAAACCACACTCCCTCCCCCTCAGGATCTGAACAGACACAGACCTTTCTCTGGATTCCTTCTCTCCCTCCATCTTTGGCACACCCCTTCCATTCAGACATGCAAGTGCACAACCTTCCCCTGCCCACAGGTGGCCACCCCAGCCCCTGTTGGCTTCCTGCTGGGTTTGCAGCCCCCTCTTCCCCTGGCTGTGCTTTCTCCGTTCCTTCTGGGCCCCCACCAGCCCCATTAGTCCCCTGCGACTCCCCACAGCTTACCAGACAACTGACACTCCCTTTTCCTGATCCCCCTTCTTTTTCTTGGCAGCCGGGCATGGTGCAGAGGAAACCGTTGGCCCGTAGCTGCTTGCAATCTTCATTTCCCTATATTGTCTCTGAGCCTCACGTGCAACCAGAAGCATTCCTGGGAAATTAAGATGGCAGCAATCTTCAGAAGTAGAGAAATCATCTTTTCAGTCTTCGATCAAGGCCATTGACCCTTGTGATTAGCTGTTTTACTAGTGGGGTTAGCTAGTATACCAGTTATATCAGCTATTCCCTAAGAGATCTATTCCCTGCCCAGAGACTTGGCTGGGGGCACACAGATGCCCACAGGTGCCACCTTCCCTTACCTCCCTTCCTGGACCAGCTTAATAAGCAAAGCTGGTCTAATAGCAGGGAAGCCCGGACTATCCAAGACGATGCTTCAGACTGTCGGCTGTGTGTGTTGTGCGCACCCATGTTGCATCTGTGCCCGGAATCCCGGATTCCTGGCCGTAGCCCATGGCCCGACAGACTTTATCCTAAGATCACATTCATGAGAGACAAGAAGGAATACTAGAGGTGAGAAAGAAAGATGGCTGTTTCCAAAGGGAAGGCATCTGCTTGGCTTCGATTCAGCCTTCCCAAGATGGTGACCGCTCCAAATCGCGGTGCTGCTTCCTTCCACATTTCCTTCCTTCCATTTAGAGTGCGCTGTCGCTCATCCAAAAAGGAGATGAAGGCAGCTGATGGCTCCGTGTCTCTTAAAGAATATTCCTGCCTGACAGCCCACCATTCTGCCCCCAGTTTCCCTCCCAGGGGGCTTCCTATAACGAAGGCGATTTGTCTCAGGAGTCACTGCTGATATAAATCAGGGCAGGCAAAAGGAATCCAGATGCATGTGATGGAAAGTCCAGAGCAAAAGAGCAATTCCCTGCACACAGGTAGGAATCCACCTTCTAGCAAGGCCACTTGCCAACGTGATTAACCTGTTATGCCAGGAACCTAAGGAAATTGACGTGTTGGCTGCCGCATTTCCCCCGAAGCTCAGTTCAACATAATGACCAATCTCAAAGCCCAGCAAAGAGGCCTAATTGATTCGGATTTGCTGAGGGCTGCTGATTGAAACCAATTAATGGTGCCCTTTCGCATCCCACCCAAAGGCCCAGCTAGAGGACTGCTGTGTCTGGGAGGTGCTTGCCCAGGGGCTTCCCGGTGGGCCTCTGGCTGGCAGGAGGGCTGCGTCTCGGCTGAGAATCTGAGGCTGCAACTGAGGTGACTGCTCACCAGGTAGCAAGGTGGGGAAAGAGCACCAAGGAGCAGGTGCTGCTTTGCAGGGGATGTTGTGGGTTCTGCAGGTGCCATTGCTTCTGGGAATGATAGTGCCTGTTTCCCATCCAGGCACGGTTCCCATCGTCCAGGTCAGAGTGCCATCTCACACAACCTTTCTGGTAGGACGGCCATGTGCTGCTCATGAGCGTTCCGTGGGGAAGACTCAGGTAGAGCCATCAAGAGAGCCCAGCGCTGGGGTGCAGAACCTCTCTCGGCCCGAGGGCTGGCTTCCATTTTGGAGATGGGGCAGAGCCCGAACCAGAAGGGACAGGCGGGGGCCAAGGGGCCAGACTGACACATCAAGCTGCCAGAAGCCTTTAACTTAAAGCTAAGTCTGCAAGCACTTCAATTGTTTGGTGAATATAGCACTAAAATATTTCAATTTCTATAGGAAGAAACAAAAATTTGCTGTCCATATATCTATTTTGCAAGCAGAATATATCTGCCTAATGTCTCTTTCTGTTTGCCACGATGGTGGCCATTTTTGACGAGTTCTGCTAGACTTCTGGAGAGGCAAG